AATTTTTAAGTTGATAATTTTGTATGGCCCACAAATGATGTTATAAATATCCAAATGACCCTTGGCAGAAAAAAGGTTCCCCACCCCTGTCATAGATCAATCTTAGAAAGTTATATTTTTAGAACTCTTTGATTTTGTTACTTTTTCATATATGCTGTGATAGCGTTATTTATCTTAACTTCTGCTGTCTATATTTATGTCCTTCTTTTGGTCCCAATATTATCAATGCAATTAATATACTGAATAAGCAATAATGTCAACATAATATATAACTGCTTATACTTCCATCATTCATTAAACATTTTTCAGAGTGGGACTTTTCCCCCTGACCCTGTATGAAAATTCTAACAAGCCCACTTGAATAACAGATAGTTCTAACTAAGTTGGAGTTGAAAACACATCTAGCCCTAGCTGGTCTGGCTCAGTGGATAAAGCCTCGGCCTACCGACTGAAGGATCCAGGTTCGATTCTGGTCAAGGGCACATGCTCAGTCCCCAGTAGGGGGTATGCAGGAGGCAGCTGATCAATGATTCTCTCTCATCATTGATGTTTCTATCTCTCTTTCTCTCCCTCCCCCTTCCTCTCTGAAATCCATAAAAATATATTTAAAAAAGAAAATAGAAAACATACCTAATAATTGGCATAACCATTCCCATTACTGACCAAAATTCTAACTAGATTTACCATAGAAATGTTTTCCCCTTCCCCTCCTAGGGTCTGTTTCAGGTTAGAAAACTTGCAGTGGGATAGGGGGTCTTGATTTATCTTCTATCTTTGCCTTCCCCGGCCAGCTAATTGGGACTTTACCCTTCAAGGGCTGGCATGCAGAGGGGGGAATGGAGTATGTGCAGGAGCTGTCTTACTTGAACTGTCCCAACATTAAATTGGCTCCCCCTTCTCTGAGTGTGAAGGATGATGACTCACTCAGCCTGCCTCTTCAAAGGTGTCCTGATGTCTGGACGTTTGTGATGTTTTTCTCACTTCCTCATCCTCTCTCACATGCTCTCAGTCAATTTCTGAATTGATTGTAACAAAAATTTATCCATATTATTGGTTGGATCAAAAGACATACTTCAGGGACTTCTTTGAATTTCTCCCTTGTATCTTGTTTCTCTCTCTCTCACTCTCACTCTAAGTGAGTTAATGTATGTAAAGCATTTGGAGAACTGCCTGAATATACATATACCAGTGGTCGGCAAACTGGCCCCTTGAGTGTGGCTCTTCCACAAAATACCACGTGTGGGCGCGCACATACAGTGCGATTGAAACTTCATGGCCCATGCCACGGGGCCAAAGAGCCGCATGTGGCTCGCGAGCCGCGGTTTGCCGACCACTGACATATACCATGTAAGTGAAAATTCCTATAACACACTAGGAACTGAACTGCACTGGGTCCATTTTTTTCAATGCTATGTTCTCCGTGCAGAGAACAGTTCCTGGCACAATAAAATAATGCCCTGTTTATCTTTCATGTTTTCCCTTTTTTCTGTTATTTCTCTTCTTAAGGAGAAAGTTTAGTTCACCGATATTTTATTTTATTCTAAAATTTAAAAAAGCATTTGTGTCTATAAATTTCTCTGAGTGCTGCAAATTTCTCTCATACAGATTTTGCTGCATCCTACAATTTTAATAGACGCAATTTCTTATTTCATTCCATGTATATTTTTAGTTTCAATTATTATTTTTACAAAGATACTATTTATAACAGTGTTTTTAAATTTTGCAATTATGGGCATAGTTTTATCTTTTGTTATAGATAACTTATTTATGTTGTGGTCAGATAGCATGCTGATAATACCACACTTTTTTCAAACTGTTGAGACTTATAATTATGTTATGTGAGTTAGAGTATGCATTTCCTGCTTGCTGAATGCAGAGTTCTATAAATGTCCACTTTGTTTTCAAAGATTTGGTCTCATTTGACACCCCCAACAACTTCAGCTGCAATGCTTGGTGGTAAAACTTTGGAATTTAGACTTAAATTCCCTATAGTGGGTGGAGCAGCATCTACTACAAAGTCAACAACTACCATGACCACCACCAGGACCACCTCCAACACTAACCAGCACCACAAACACCAGCACCACCACAATCACTATTGGCTTTACCTTCAGTAGAAAACCAATTGGGATTAATGACACTGTTCCAGTCGGTTTTGCTTCTACACCTTTTACTTCGACTGTTAATTTGATCATAACTCCCGTGATGACGTGTGGTCAGCTGGCTGGTCTGATCAATAAATGGAACCTTGAGTTAGAGGATCAAGAGGTCATCACCAGGTCACCCAGGCCAATGCTTGGGACTGTGCATTGACTGACAATAGTTAGAAGATGACTATTTTACATGGAAAAGTGGAAAAAGTGAAATTGGATCAGAAAAGACTGAAAAAAGAATTGGATTTGGTCCTGCTGCAGTAGAAGGAACTAGAAAATCTCTTGATCTCTTTAGGGGAATCTGGGAAGGACAATGGATCTGTTTATGCAAATTATGTAGATGAGGAGTGTGAGAGGATTTACAAAGTAGCAGAAAACATAGGTGCTCAGCTGAAACAAATGGCCCAGGATCTGCAGGACAGTATTGAGCACCTGAGTATATCTGAAAGACCTGACACTATTGACCTGTCCCAGCAGATCTACAGAATTCTGAATGCTCATATGGACTCTCTACAGTGGATCAGCCAGAATTCAGGCTGCTGCAAAGGAAGGTGGAAGCACATGTTTTCCAAGATTCATCTTCACCAGCAGCCACAACGCAACGTCAGGATTGCTTTCTATTGAATGACCACATCTTCAGCACGTTATACATTATCTACAAATATTGGTGACATTCAATAGAGCAGAAGTTAACAACTGGTATATAACTTTTGGTTGCAATGAAGTGTGTGGTTTTTTTTTGTTTTGTTGTTTTTCATTGTGCTGTTGCCCTAGCTGGTTTGGCTCAGTGGATAGAGCATCGGCCTGTGGACTGAAGGGTCCCGGGTTCGATTCTGGTCAAGGACACATGCCCGGGTTGCGGGCTTGATCCCCAGTAGGGAGAGTGCAGGAGGCAACTGATCAATGGTTCTCTCTCTCATCACTGATGTTTTTATCTCTTCCTCTCCCTTCCTCTCTTAAATCAATAAAAATATATATTTTTTAAAAAACATCGTGCTGTTGAGAATTATACTGTAGTCTGGCTTTTAGTATTAGCAAATCAAAGCAATATTAGCCCTTTTGTCTAGACAGCAGCCTATTAGATGTTGACTGTTTTGTAATTTGTATCTTACTCTCCTAGATTCCATATCCTACCACCAGCACACATCCTTCTCACTCCAACCAGGTCATAAATGCTTGCCAAAAAATAAATGCCAGCTAGTCTTTGATGGGTGCCTGTTACATAGCAGAAGTAGATCAGTCAAGTCTCTCTCCTCAAGGGAACTTACTGTCTAGCTTGAGATATAATGAATGGCTATCTGTATAAAAGCAATATAGATAATACAGAATTACAGAAAATGTGTTACAGAGATTCACAGACAGGAGAAAAAATTAGGGTGGGTTTGGGACTTGGCTTAGGTTATTTTTAAAAGGGTAAGTTTCAGGCAATTTGTTTATTTGTTATATACAGTTACCTTGGTGTTTTTACTTGGTGTTAGCATATGATTTATAATATTTGTTTTTGTGTATTTGTTCATTTGTTTTTCAAAAGAAGCCTTGTTCTTACCTTGAGAACAATTTGATCTCTTGTGTTTCATGTTTTACCTAAGGCACAAATGAAAGTGATGTTCTAAAAAACAACAAAAAACAACAACAACAAAGCCCCCAAACAAAAGAACACCAGCTCTGGAGTCTGAGACTTTGTTTCAAATAACAACTTCATTCTTTTTAATTATTAAGGAAATTATCTCCTCTGAGTCCCTGGATCCTCATCCATAATATATTCTACTTTGAGAACTTTGAAGAGGATTACATATTTATGCATGTTTAGCTCTTAAACTAAACATTCACTTAAAAATATTTTTGAATCTGAACGTCTGCATTGGATACTACGCTATATGCATAAAAGGGAGGAAAACTAGGGCTTACTCTCAATCAGATTATAATTTAGCCTTCTAATCATGGGGAATAGCAATGTTTATGAGATTTCTGCCTGTTGGAATTTTGAACTTAAGGTGAATCGGCTGACATTGCAATACATTTCTGTTCTCACAACACACATTCAATAACTATCTAAAAATCCTGAAATTTTATGTCCTACAAAAATTTCATTTGAATTAGATGTAGTGACTGCTGCTGAAACCATCCTATAAAACTTTGTCACTTTTACAAATCATTTTTGTTGTGTAGAAAGACAGCAACAAATGTTTTATAGCAAGTACTTTATCTCTAAAAGAAAACATAGAGGAACTAATCATCAAAAAATATATCCTATGATCAACTTCGTTTTTCCAGGTTTCAAGATTTAAAAATTTTTTAAGGTATTCCTTTAGTTGGCAAACACGAGCTTTCTGTTCTAAGACAGATATCCTATTTTGCAAACAGGTTCAAAGACTGTTGAAATAATACATGGAGGGTCCCGCAGCAAAAGAACCTTTCTAACCATTGCTAGCTACCGCACCTCTGCAGGAATCTCATCCTTCACTGCACTTGAGCAGCGAGGGAAAAACCTGGCAGAATCCAACCTCAAGCTGCGCTGTCGGAATCTACCTCCTTCTTCAAGTTCAGCCGGAACTGAACTTCCCTGAAACGCACCCAAGCGGCACTGGCCGCTTCGCCCGCCCGCGTCAGCGACCTCACTCGTGGTTCCCACGCTCTCCGAGGCCACTGACAACGCCAACCTTCGTGGACGCGGCTGCGCATGCGCCCCAGTTCTGCGCGTGCGCTCTGGTTCCGCGCATGCTCCGAGGCGGAGGCCGGCGGGTCCTGGGAGCTGCCCCGCCCCTGCCCTCAGCGCCCAGCTTCCCTTCCGCGCCCCGGTTCCCCTTCCGGGAGCGCAGGCGGCCGCCGCTACTGCTTCCCCGCGGCCTGCAGCTCTCCTGCGGCGACCATGGCAGCTCGGACACCCGGGGCTGCCTTGCGGCTCTGCGCCACTGGTACAGGCCTGGCGGGGGTGGTGCGGGTGGGCGCGGGGACCCTCCCCGGATGAGGTCGGGCCTGGACCGGCCGCGGGGTCCGCCGAGATATCCCTCACCGCGGCTCCTTCCTCCCAGGCGGGCTGCCCGAGACCAGCGTCACGCGCGGGAAGGATGCGTTTTCCTCCGTTCGGTTCTGATTTTCGGGGTGGCAGGAAGTTTCCGGAGCGCTGGCTCCACTTACAGGCATGAAGGATGCTCCCTTCCGAAGGTGCAGCCACTCAGGGCTTTGGCTTTAGGTTCCGAGTCTTGTCCTGTGGGAAGAAGGGGGCGAAGAGGAGGGTGTCCCAGGGCAGAACAGACTCTGGTGCCCGGGGGAAAGTGCCCCGAATGTGGGTCGGCCTTTGCTCAGCCCCCGCGCCCCTGTTTCTCTCTGGGCTGTTTTCACTCAGTAACCAGGACGTGCCAGATCCTCTTCCGAAATACGTATTGGTGGTGGAGCTCAAGACCTATAAAATTGGGAATAAAAACTAACCATTTGGAAGAGATTAACCTAAGAACGTAAATGCATATAGGCAAAACTCATGGACACAGGCAGTAGTGCAGTGAAGACCTGGGGAGGGGCAGGTGTGGGGAAGCGGGGGTTACTGGAGGGAAAATGAGACACCTGTAATGCTTTCAACAATATGTTATTTTTTTTAAAAAAAGCTAAAGTATGTGGAATGGTATTTGGAGTTTATATCGAGGAGATCATTGGTATTAGAGAAAAAGGAAAAACAACGATTTCTATCCCTGTTCCAAAAAGATGGCATGTAACAAGGAAAAAATGGGATGAAAGTGGAAGTATATTTAAAAAGAACCTCTGTGATTTACTAGCCTTTCACAGTACGGTTGCATGCAGAGTGTTTATTAAACATTTGAACTATTTATGCTTTTTCATCACTTGTGCCCTGGGATGGTTCAATGAATTTTTTGGTAGGTTGATAAAAATCAAAAACATTTTTTTAGATGATTGAGCTTATAGTACAAGCCAAATGATACACCAGCATTTATTATATATGTTTTCCCTTTTTCTTTCAGTTTTTTTACTTGAGATGGCTTTCTGTAAAGGATTCGTAGAAGATTTAGATGAATCGTGAGTATATATATTTTTAAGTAGTATCTTCTTCCAACTCTGAATATTTGTATGAATCTAGTCTTTTAATAATAGAGCCAGTAATAACCATTGCTTACTATATATAGCACTAATTTTGTTCAAAGAGCTTTACTAAGTTGTAAGATTTTAAAAAGTGCCAAAATCATCTGTGTTCTATTTTATCATTTCACCTGTATTTGCTATGTTTTTCTGCTTTAATCAGTAAGTGGCTGCTGGAGTTTGGGACCAAGCTGTGTTTTTGTGTGTGTGTGTTTGTTTGTTTTTACAGTACCACAGCATTAATCACAAGGCCTTGCTTATAGTAGGTGAAGAGTCGTGCTCCAGACCAAAACCCAATGTGTGATCTTTCAGACAATTGTAAGGCTTTACCTGGCAGGCCTCCAAGGGGAAAATACCCTCCCCACACTAAACTCGCTGTACAACCAGTGCCCTGCAGTCTCTGGAGGGAGTTGTAGTCATAGACTCAGGCCTCCAGGGCCAGCGCGCTAGCTAGGCTACATGTCTGCATTCCTAGCCCACTTGCCTTTAGGCAGGAGGCAGGGGGCTCACCTAAGGCATTTCCTGTGCACCTTGCAGAGACCTGCTTACTGAGGGGCTTGGCCGAGGCACTTTGCTCCACCTGGACTCAGCGCTTTTCACCTCCTGTCCCTTTTCCCTGGCCGTCCCTCTGCCCAGGGGTCCATAAAGAGGCAGAGGCAGAAGCCTTTGGTTCACTGCTCCTCTGAATGTGCTGACCCTTCTGACCCTTGCCTGGCGCGGTTCCACTTGGGAAAATGGAACACTGAGGAACTGGCGCCTTTTTTGTGTGCCCCTTGGGTTGCATCGTAGCAGTAAATGAAGAAAGCCTCCATTGTTACTTTCAGTTTGACTTGTTGCCCTACTTACCACCTCCACATGACAACATTGCTGTAGCAGCAGGGTGGTCAGTTGAGCACATGCCCTTCTGACAAGCAGAAGCCTCAGGGTCCTATGGGGCACTTTATCAGCCATGCCAGTGAGTACTGGGGAGCACTAGCAGATTGTTTACAGAAACTGTTTGATCCTGGGAGAACCATTGTCAACAGGGAGGTAATGTTCTTAAATGTTAAAGGTTAAAGTCAGTGGTACGGAGGCAGGC